ATCTTAGAGCGATGCTTTCCAATCAAAGTTCTTCGGAAAAAAGGACGGGGTGGTAGAAAGTCGGTTTTAGGTGTTCCGATATGACTTCGAGAATGACGATGTTGTCCACAACATTGATGTCCCCGATACGGTTATTCGGCCTACGCTGTACCTCAGGGTCTTCAGCCGTGGTACGGTTCCTCGTTTATTGGATGTCGTAGCTGAACAACAGCTTTGTCGAAATCCCAGCTGCAAAGGAGACTCCGAAAACTTCTCTGCATAAGTGCAGACTGCGGACCGGGTATCGGAGTAGCATGCTTTTTATTTTCTATGAGGTGCTAGGGAATGCCAGCGTTTTCCCATTATGTTGCACAGCGAATTTCGGTGGAGAACTTATGTGGTGCATAATTCGGTAAGGCAGGTTGCGGATGGCTACTGTTGTGAGTAGTATCTGACAACACTGGAACTTGTATGGGTGTTACAAGTTTCCCACTAAGGGTGAATATTTGGTCAACAAAGCCTCTACCGTGTCGAAAGCTCCTTTGGTTTGCACATCTACTAATGCAAAACAATTAAGTATTATCATTGTGAGCCCATTAACTGCAATAACGATCAGACCAATGCTATAGTAGTTCTCGCACACACCTTCCCCTTTCTGTAAATACGCTGATGACGTTATTATAGGTTGCAAAGCATTCACCCCGGAAGAGGCTTCAGAAATTCAAAGCAAGATGAACGACGTTGTCACTTGGTCCTTGTCCCGTTCCTTCTCATTGAATGCCTCTAAATGTCAGGATGTTGTGTTTTCCCTCTTGGCCGATGTACCGTATTTAACCCTTACAGATAGGTTCCCCACCCTCTCTGAAAATCAACAACCCTTACCGAAATCAAAAATAGTAAAATACCTTGGCGTCACTCTATCACACAATTTATCATGGTCACTGTAAATTCAAAACACATTCTGTAAAGTTAGAAAACTTTCATGTTTCTCACTCCTATTGAGATTACTTTCTGTTCCCCACAAGCTGATTGTTAGATTTGTGAATGCATGCGTTCCACCCCACTGGTTGTATTGCTTCCCAGTAATTTTTCCCGGTATTTTAAAGAAAGACTTTTATTTACTGGCGAGATCTCTGGAACACATCTCTAAATGTAGTGGCATTGTCAGGGATCATCTCGCCGACTCTATCATTGACAGACACCACCTACAAGCTTGTGAGAGTTTCACCGCCAAAATACTCTCAGACACTCACTACCCATTACACAAAGAATTTCCAAAAGCTGTATCTACATCATCCACACGCTCAAGATTTAAACTGTTATTTGCACGTACCTCTACTTATCGAAATTCTGTTCTGCCATATCTAGCACGTCTACTCATGGACAAGGACAAAATTGCCACAGAACTGCGCAACCGCTTGCTTCATTGACACACATACCCCATTGCTTTTAGGTTCATTATGTAATGATTTTGTAAATTTGAATCCACAAATATGGTTTAATTGATGACAATACACCCATCTGGTTGGACAAAGCTACCATCAACTTGACTTGATTTGACTTCAGAATGGGTCACAGAATGGAGGTGGAGCAATCTTTGGGAAAGATTTCCGTTTCCCATATCCGACGAAAGAGATAACCTAGTTGGTTGTACAAAACTGAAATTTAGGATCTATATAGCTCCAGTGGAATATCATCCTCCCTGAGGTCTTCCTGCTTTTTAGTTTACTAACCACGGAAGAAATTTTCTTCCTACTTGTTCACTCAGAGTTAACTGCTTGGTACAACTTTGCTTATCAAACTTTAGATGAAAACCGTAATTCTTGAGTCTCGACCGTGGTAATTATCTCAAAGGTTGCAGTGTTTTAATAAACTGATGATAGAATAGGGGTGCATTTTTGTGAACAGTGTTTATTATCCACAGCATCTTAATGTATCTACCTCTCACTAACAGGGTTGAATTTAAGGGGAGATACGAAACGGCAAAAATTTACGTTATCTGGTATGAATTTTGATTCATTTCGGAGAATGCGAACGCATAACCATGTACCGTTTATGTTACATTTGAGGCTTTTACTCACAGGAATATTGCGTGTTATACAGAAACACTAAAGCTGTACGAGATGTGTCAAATGGTCTGATGATACAGGTGCATCGTTTATACCTTCTCCAATTAACATATGGTGCAGAATGCGACCGCCTAAACTCAGTTCCTATTCAAGCCTTGGAACATCAAGATTTGTTGAAAATAACATCTTTCAATAACTTTTGATAGCAGAACATTTTAATAATTTTTGACTAAAGTTTGTGCATCCAGGCTAGAGGACTACTGCTCGTCGCTAAAGGATTGCGGGTTTTGGCTAAAGCTTGATGGAAAATTAAGTACTCTCTGCTGGAGCGATAGGTGTTCACCTTTTTCCAGTCAAACAGTGTGCCGAAAAGCGAATGGACCATGTTCTCCATTTATCCATGCCCCCAGCTGAACACCAATAAGACAACCACCAGCACCAGCACACCAATCACAATCAATTCCACCCAGGCACGACAAACATAGCTCCTATTTCTCTTGTTCGCCGAGCTTGGCAACTTCTTTGCCAACTTTTCATCATCATCATCCAAGGTTACATCATCAGTGCTTGTAGAGCACTGTCTACATCTCTGACTATTAATATCATCTAAATTGCCCCTAATTGTCATTCATCATTGCATCACATGCTTGCTAAGTAATTCACGGAACGGTTTGAGTAAGGTCCTAAACCACTTTATCGGAATGAGTCTATAGGATCCTGGTTTGTATTAATCGATTCAACTTCCTTAAACGCCAACAGATGTGAACTCTGTCATAAAAGTCATAACTTAAAAATAAGCACTAGACATCTGTTTCTATCTGGTTTGGTCTCATCAGGGGTCCGAATTCGTTAAACCAACTTCGGCTTTAGGTTGGAATTTTCTCGACCTAGTCGTCACTTTGGAGGCCAGTGCTGAGATGTGCAAGGTGTGATGCCCCTCAACAAGCCCACAAAGATGTGTTGTGCTGTCGTTTATAAGGAAAATGAAAAATGCTCTGATCGTCTGCCTGATGACTGAGTGGGAAGTTTGCTTGCGGTCTACCTGTGAGGTACCGGGTTCGATCCCTAGTTGGGTCGATGGATTCACACTGCTGATGAGATCCCACCAGGTAGAAATAGCTGTCCAGTGTTTCCTAGATTTTCAGGTCGTGGTTCATTTTCCCTTCACATGACGAGATTCGCCGAATGAACAAACCAAAGCCTGCAATTTTCTCTCGCCAAAAGCATCAGCTATTAGCTAGAGAAAGACTAATATCAAGTTACAATGATTGTAAAAGTTGTGGGCTCGTAAAAATGTTTATGGTCCAATGCATTGAGTGTCCTTTCTGTCCCATTAATTTGTTGCTTATAACTTAATCTTAAATTTTCTGATGTCATTTATTTTAGGTTTATACGATGACTATAGTCAACTGAAGTGTGAATTACAGTAGTTGTTACCCTTAATAAACTTGAACAGAAATGATAATAATTGTGTTGTCTATTTGTTATACGGGATATATCTCAACGTATCGTTTCGGGTGCATACTACCAATCATACGATGTAAATGTTCGCAATGAATTGGATTAATTCCGGTATCAAGTTCGCAAAGATCACGGTATTATCGGGGTAACGTTACGGTAACGAATAACTGTTATTTTGCCAAAAATATCCTGTTTTAACTTAGAATCACAACTGTTTCAGCCCATTTACAGTCTACGTGAATTGATGTTGAAAAGGACAATCAGAACCCCAGTAGTTTGGTCTGATCGAAACTTTGTCTCAAGTAAACGGTGTGCGATGGAAGAGGATAGCGGCTGTCTGGTTGGTATCTAGTGACTTGATTCGTTTTCCATCTTTCCTGGATTAGCCACGCTTGACCAAAGTTATCCTTCACTTCCGCTTAGGTGGGTAGCCGAACTCTCACACACATGAACATGCATAGGTGTGATTTCGCATGAACTTGTACTGACTGATGGACGGGCCTGTATCAGCATGCGAGAATTAGAAATGGTTCCATGAAATTGAATGACTGATCACCGAATTATTCTACGTGCAAACAACTCGGCTAATCATTACTGTTAAATGACGAAGAATTTTAAGCAATTCTTCGGATAAAAGTGGCATTGCGTTAAGCACAGTATCTCAAACTCCATGCGCCGTGATCGGCCGCTTCGGTGGGTTGATAATGGACAGTTTGGGGACCGTGGTGAGTGAAAATTGAGTCCTCGCATAAGGATCTCAATCTAGCATCAAACCAGTGATCAGGTGACCAGCAAATAAAAATATACAAGTATACCCAAATTCCTTTACAGGGTACAGCAGAATCCCGTAAGATATATGACTGATTCAGTCTCCGAGTAGTTAAAAGCAAAGGATTGTGCTCTCGAAGCATAACTTGACAATTATCGTTAGTGTTTTTATTTCGTGTCTTCCAGCCATATATTCATCAAGTAGCTCAAATGATACAAGCCTTACGCAAGAACATTCATTGTAATTTCGTTGTGACAAACGTCTGGGGTAATATCCATGTTATTTTTCAACCATTGTTTGCTCAACTTGTCGGTTCATTGAAAAAGTACGGGGATACACTGATTCGCTCCAACACGATTAAAAAACAGTACTTGATCGAATAGTGAGACAAATGTAACCTGCGGACGTGAAAAACAAGTGTTCAGCATGATAGCACTCCCACAGTCATTTGGGAGAGGTGCCAGGCTTTTCAGTGAGTCTCACGGAGCACATGATCGGATCGACAATTTGCCATGCACAACATTTCATATTAGGATGCATATAAAATGAAAATATTGTCGAAGTTTGGATGTTCTTTTACATCATAACCAAAGTCACATCGACAAGAACAACAACACCAATGGTAATAATAATAATAATAATAAACAAAATTCACAGAATTGCCTTGATCTTGCACAAAATGCCTGATATTCAGAATGGTTGACACAGGCAAGGATAAGTGACTATTCCTTATTCTTTCTGAGGAACTCGGCCAGCTCGGCTTCAGACCACATTTTATCGCCATCGATATCATACTGCTTCATGAACAGTTCCACTGTGGTCATCTGCAAGGGTCGACCGCACATTTGTTCCAGTTTTGCTTTCAGTTCCTTGGCCGTAACTGTCCCATTCCCATCTGTGTCCAGTTCTTTGAAGGTTGCCTGAACCTCTTGAGTGAAAGCGCTGTTAAACATAGAAGTGGAATGTGACGATTAATTGGAAGAAACGTATATGAGAACATGCTCCGGGCACAATAGTTTGAGATAAATCTGACTGTGAGCAGTGACAGGGTACTCTGGCTAGCTTCTAATCGGGTAAATAAACTAGCTTATTATACAATTCTAAAGATATCACTACAATAACCAAAACTGATTGAGATAAATTAGCACAGCCTTAATTTGTGGGTGAAGTTCAAATACTGCAATCACTGGTCTATTTCCCCGACAAGTATTATTTGACCAGTTCTTGAAGCCTAAATTGAACACATTTAGCACTCCAAATGAAGGAATGAGGTTGTCTCATAATATCAAAGAGGAAATCTCGACCTAGTACATTTTAATTTACTCATTACACAGAAGCAGATAATCTTTCCAAGGGGTTTTCCTAAAATGAAGCTTTTGCTTCAGTTTTTAGCAGCAGTTTTGTGCACATTTTGGGTGGTTTGTTACGCTCCGTTCCAAATCACGCTTACACTGTAATTCGTGAGGCGGGGGAATGGGTCTATCCAAATAGAATGATGCAACTGTTCGTCACCAGTTTGGAGTCACAAGCTAATGTTTCCCACTTATGTAAGCTACCACTTATCGTTTCGTGAGCGAGTTTTGCACATTTCGTGCCATTCGTCACAACGATGATGGATTACTGTTCACAATGTTCTATTCTTTGACTAACCAAATAAAAGCTCACCAGAGATTCACACATCAGTTCACTCAAGAGAGAGAGGAACGGTTATTTATGGTAAACCCCACTGTTCAATCAGAGATAAAAGTTGAATGAAAATGAGTATTCCGCTTTCTGCTAGTTCGCTGACATGCAATACTGCACATGTGAGTTGAAGGGGTAAAATGTAACGGTTCCACTAAAGTGTGAGGGAATGTACCTCACGTGGAATTCAAATATGGAAATTATGCGGGTAGTTACAATGTCATGACCTCTGTCCATGAACTGGCACACGTGTGAAATCCATTTATCTACTTCCTTAACTGTTAAAACTGTACAGTTGCTAACCGTTTTCATCGCGTTTCTTGCAGATTAGTATCGTTTAAAAGTACAGAAAGAGAGCATGAACATATCGGTTCTACCTCAGTGATTTCCATCCATTAGAAGATGAAACATTTATGCCGCTAACAGCAGCAAATCTTAATTTTCATTAGCCTATTTTAATTTTTGGTAAATTAAAATTTGGATCTCTTTTTCCAATTTGGGGATTTGGTAAAGCTCTACACCGATGCATTTCAGTGCAATTTCCCTGGGAACGTGGATTTCACCGTGGAATATTTTGTTGAGTGATAAAACTTATTTAAATTCTGTTTACTAATGTTTTCCTTCGGTGCTGGATTAGAGCCATGTATAGCGGAGTTAAGTACTGGTGAATACAATATTGAAATAGTGTGTATCAGAAAATGTCGTGAATGCAAGATAAGGTTTTTAATTCGCCCGCCTTTGAAACAGTTCATGTTTTGTTTAATGTTTGTATATCTTGTCTGTAGACAAACTTATTTAAATTAAACCTACTCTCTCTCTCTGGTTTATCAAGTGGTCAGTAGAGCTTTGCTCTTCACTATGGTAAAAACATACATATATCCGCCCTAATACTCTGCCGATCGGACGCGTTTGTTCAAGCACTCGAGTTACCTCATCATTGGGGTGATGCTAGAGGATAAGTGAGTGTGTTGCACTACTTTTAAAGCAGCTCGAAGAAACCCTGGCAGAAAAACTTTGTGGAAACACCCACAATCCAGTTATTTATAAGCAATTTACGTGGGCGTCATCCCAATGAGGTCAATGTGTAACCAACACATGATTTTAATTCTGGTTGATAATCAAACTCATCTGAATCAAAGAAAAAGACTCCAAAGCTTCTGTTAAGTATCTCTCACGGTTGTTTATCAGATATTCTGACGATAAACTTGTCAACCTTAATGGTGCACTGTTCNCCGCGGCGATAATGAATGTAGCTTGTGTACGGTGAGAAGCGCACATGCATTTAAGGCTTATGTGATGTGTATGTGAGCGCACACGCCTTGTGCAGTATGTTGGAGTGAACAGCAAAGCAAAACCGAAATACATCAATGCTTTGGGCTCCGCCTACGCGAAAGTGACAAATAATAGTGGCTATATATGAAGTAAGTGAACCGGAATTTGTTGACTGTGAGGATCGTACCATTGGTGGACAAATTCCTGGTCCGATCACAGCTTTGTTTTGATAACTGGGTCAGTTGTTTTCGAAATTAACAAATGGCCCTCTCGTTCTCCGGACCGTTGTTCCAGTCTTCATAAATCTGCCGACTTGAACGGCATGTGCGGAAGTTGAATTATGCAGAATCGTTGCACGAAAGGTGTATTGATTGGTGTGTATCAAGTGCACCACGATCTACAGACTCCATTCAAATCCCTGTAAACAGTTTTGTTCGAAAATACTTTTGAACACTTTCTATCCGTTTAGCAACAATTTCGATCAGTCTTTGTCCACAACATAACATTTGAGTAAATGTAAAGGTTTACTTTCGCGTAAGACTACTTACCGCAATTCCCGTTTTCCCTATCAATCGCGCATTCGTTTTGATTTAGCAAAGACCACCGGTAATTTGTTCAATTGCCTATGAAGTTAACCAACTATCTAGTTCATTCAGCAACCATTCTCGAAATTTTTTAATTGGTATACTACATATGTATTGGTTGTATTTACGTAAACGCTGACTCAACTCAACCATCATGGTGTATAAATGCTAATCACCATGAAAAACATTCATTGTTTGGTGGCATATTGTTGCACGAACATCGAGATAGAAGTATTCAAAGAGAGTTTAGAAAATTGTATTTGAAACGTTCTCTTCGGGGGCCTCTTCAATATGTGCTGATTTGAAACCAATCCTTCATGTCAGATTCACTGTATGGAGCTTGTTATTTAGCCTTGTTCAGAATCTGCTTCATCTGTGCTGGTTATCGGAGCCCTAAGCAGCCCGAAATTAGGTGTCCTACATCCAGGTCCTTTCTATGTGTGTTATGCTCGTGAGCTTAGCTTTCGAAAAGGCCTTGTACTGTGGTCCTTTTCTAACCACGATCATGGTGTTCATGTTCNGGGGGGGGAGGGTGTAGAATGTGACTGGTTAAGAAGCATTCTACAAAGATATTTTGCCATAAAAATTGATATAAATCTACTACATTTACTCTAGTTCTGGAAAATGATTCTTTTTAGTCTCACTCAGTTGAGGAATTTTCAAATGACCACTATTTTTCTTAGTGATGACATGAGTCCGGCGAACAACTCCGTCAAATAAGACGCATTCATTAGCTTTATTTTTATAGGTATTCCAAGTTAACTAAATTGTTAACAGCGTTAACGTGGATGCGTAATATTACGGAACGGGACCTAACGTCACAAATTCAGCTTATCCTTTCAACAAAAAATCAACTGGTTGAGTGATGAAGTACAAATTGGCTGTTCCCTGAACAGCCTCTAGTTTACTGCAACCAACAATAGTGACGTTAGAAGTTAGGTCTCTTTTAGTTTGATAATTTATGAATTATTCCTTTATTACAAATTAAAAATGCAGTCATCTTTCGCCAGTGGCTTGAGTCAGGTTTTAGAATTCTCGCGATAGGTGACAATGCAGGAAGTGGCGACTACATTTATTGAGTGCTAACTGGAGATTATTATCTTAACAGTTGGATAAATACAAAATACCTATAACTTCATTCTCTGGGCAATTCAATGGTATATAATAATAGAAAAAGGATTTTTTATTCACGCTATATTTGGGGTTTGTCAGTTTCAATAGAAGTAATAGTTTGTAGATTGTGTTGTTCACATATAAAGCTGGATTTTAGGTGACTGAGAACAGGGGTGAGACAAATGAGGGTTGGGGCAGGGTCGNGGTTAACGCTTACCTGTTTGGGTCACAATATCATGGGAATAGTCATGCGCACACGTAGGACTGGATCCACAACGGACTGCATAGGCGGATGGTTATTGCCTTTGCTGTTTTGAAATGATGTTGTCTTACGGCCTTCAGTGGATTAGGGAGGCATCGCTCGGATAACCTTAAATGCCTACTTATTCACTCTGTTTACCCTCAACTCACAATACNCCTGCTCTGTGCCAATCGGCTTCAAACACAAACCAAGAACATCCGAATATTAGACCTTAGTTTCCGTTTTTATTTAACTGTAATGACAGGATGAAGTTATTCAATAAAATACTTTTCTCAATCACTTTCATTAATTATGTTCTTGTGGGTTCCTTGGTCTTCCCATTCTCACAAAACTCTTTCTATGCTCCTAAATACACCAGACACTGTTCACACTGCAATTATCAAACCATTAGCCTCAATTTAAGTAATAGCCAATGAATAATATATTGCAATCTAACTGATGAAGATGCAAATTGGCCGATGATGATGGGTTCAATGTATTGCACAGCCCAGAAAAGCACTCCACAGCTCTCCTAAAAGCGCACCGCTTCATCATGTACTCCTGTATGCTAGTTACTTTCTTTTGTTTCAATTTTTTAGTCATTTCATATATGCTTTAATCAAAACTTCTATAGTACCATAAATTGTTTTATTTTTTGTAGCACTTGCTTGTTTTGCCCCCCGAAATAAGTGAGGTCACGAACATTAACAAAACCCACCAATATACCACAGGCCCCCAAGATGTACCAAACATTCCAGATGAAAAATTAAATACATTCAATTCAAAAAACACGTGTTATATTCAAACAGTAATTACCGGACGATAACATGATAGGAACCGACTGTATAAAATCCATCAGTATCTGAGGTAATACCCACATGCAGTCTAGGGGTAAAAGGTTACCAAAATGAAGTGATTACTGACACAATCGTCCTTAAATTATCATCAGTTATTGGATTCCAGTTTTTGTTTTGAGTAAACCAAACTATAAATCGAACAAGTGTTCTTATATTTACATTACTCGTTTTTTTTCAACTCAGTAGAACACAAAACATGTGTT